TTCCAACAAATACCACCAGTCATCGAACACCATCCCTACGTGGGACGCATTCGCGTGCACACCCTCCACAATGCAGGATGCCGATGTGCCCCTCTACCTTCACGCGGAATTTCTACCGAATATCCGCCAGATAACCCTTTATGTGTCCCTTCCCGGGACGGCAAAATTTGATGGAATCCGACCAGATGTCCAACTTTCAGAATCAAGAAAGGCAGTCACCGTCTCCCTATCAAACCCATTTGAACATGTCGCAGAAACCATCAAACTTCCAGCACGTGTTAATTACGCGTCCCAGCGCGTGTTGAAAACCACACTTGGGCCTGCACCAAAATCAGATCCTAATGGCACCGGGAATCCCAGTTATGATTTTTCTTTTCGCATGCAAGTCGATCCCGACGAAGAGGCGCTGGCGCCCCGGGATGAAATTATAGATGAATTTGCACCCTGGACAGCAGAGGAAATGTCTTCTTCCACTCGTATTCGTTGTCGAGAGTGTGAACATCTTTTTCTTGATTCCTCGTTAATATCTGAGTCGGTTGATCAGCGAACAGGCGAACGCTCTACCCCGGGATGGATCTGGAAAGACCTCCCAAGTGGCAATTGGGCTGAAATGATGGATTTCTGGCATTGTCACAAACCCGATCCGCATGAGGGCCACGAAAAAGAAGAGAAAGCCTCTGCGCTTGAGATCGAGGAACAAACAGCGCAGACCAAAGGATATGGCGCGGATAGCCATGTTGTGGCGATTTCTGGGACAGTTTTTGTTGATGTTGCCACTTTCCTTGTTGCTGAAGCAGACTGCATCGGATTGAAAAAGGTATGAAATTTACACCCCCCTCCTTTCCCCTTCTCTTGCCACAATAGTTTCATCACGGTTTTGATCCGCCCGGAACCGGGCAACTTAGAAGGGGACCACTCCTTTTCCGTGGGGTGGCCTCCGATACAATTGCCCCAGATGGACGACATGCACTTTCTGTCTTGCAATCCAAGGTGAAGGTGGTACTTTCGCAGGAACAGGGTTGTGGACTAGATGGGTAGTTATCCTCTCCCCGGAGATGGATTTCGCTCTTCACGTTTGCGATAATGGACTTGTGTGTGGGCTGCTTTTCCCTTGGTCTGCGACTCTAGGTGTTCTCTATTTTCAGCGCCGGCTATTTGAGCAGTGGAGCGGGTGTGATTACAAGAGTTACATTATATCATTCCGCTTGCGGGATGTGATTTGGGCAAGATCTACCTAATCGTGAGATTGAATGCAACGCCTTTCCCTTTACTTCCAAGTATCTTGTTCGCAATAGTTCCAGTTCCAGTCACAAGTACAATTTGCTGACAAGCAATGCAACCCAGGGGGATGCCGAAGAGCAAAAGCAGAACATGGAAGTCTCAACACTACGAACCCTCGACTGCACACACTGCAATTCCACAATTGGCATGGAAGATCCAATCGCCAAGGGATGGCGACTCCTAAAGGCCAATGTATCCCTCAATGCTCATTCACTCGGTCGCGAGGCAAACGTTGAAAAGTGGGAGGTCCACCCCAAAGAAACCATTGTTGCTGCACAGTTACTTGAATTAATCGAGAGAGAAAGCGCTCGGCGATTCGTCGTTCATTGTGGCCAGAAGAGCGGCGTCGTGGTAGGTGATAACCCATTTCACTCCAGTGGCATCTAAATTTGAGAGAACACTGGCTCACGAAGGTTTGCACTTGGTAGCTGTGGGTCTTTAATCCAGATATGCGATACTCGAACTCTAGCGCAGGCCGAATTATCATGGCTCAGCAAGCCATGAAGGTATTCTACCAACCTTCTCCCGATGTGGATGAGCTGCTCCATCCAGAAATTGGGAATCCCTCGCCCTTGTCCGTGGAAGAGTTGGAGTTGCCTTCTATGATCTTTGACGCAATGTTGCAAGCGTTGACCGGGAGTAATGAAATGCTCCCGCTCTCTGCCAGGAGGTTTAACGAGTGGCACGTTGGACTTTTGAGTCGTTTCAGGCGCGAGAAAGCTTGATTTGCTGGGGTTTTGTATGATACGAAGTAAGAAAGCCTACGACATGCACACAGCAGATCCATGCTGATCTTGCAAGCACAAATAGTCTAAACCATTCTCTGTGATTCATTTCTTCTCAAGTCCGCGGTTGAGATTATCGTAGCCAACGTCTTCTTTGAAATGTGAAGGCTTCCAGCGCCCCCTCTATCCATCAAAGGGTGTCTCATAGGGAGGCTCAGCCTGGGGTGTGAGACGAGCGACGTGTCGGCGCTGGCCATCCTCCCAGTCGAAAACGGCAGAATGGCATACCACGCGGTTCTGTGAAGGTCAGTGTCTTTTCTCACCGATGAAACCCCCGATCAGTTTCTAACTTACATCCCAGACAACGACGGTACCAGCCCTCCAGCGAATACGAGCCTGAATGTCCTGCGACAAGGCGATGTGGTCGTACAGGAACTTGAGGAGGTTGTCTGATTCCTCTTTTTTGTATCCAACAATGTAACGGGTGACTATGCGACAAGAAGAAGACACGTCAGCTTTCCAAATCTTCCAACAAACTCGTGAGATCGACTAACACTGAGGGTTCACGTAAAGTGCCTTTTCGCCGGTTACCGGGTGAGTCCGAACAATGGGATGCTCTGATGTAACAGGATCACGGCGGGCAATGCCGCCACGATTCAAACTAGCATTAATCTGCTCGAGGCCGGAGTGTACGGCCTTCAATCCGTGGAGTCGTTCCTGGAAGCCAGGCGACAGGCGCTTGTATGCCTGGACCATGTCGGCGAACAGGGTGTCCCCACCACTGGTGGGGCCGTCAAGGGTGTACAAGAAAGTTGTGCCGGGGGGCTGCTTCTCGAAGGTGATATCAGAGTGCCATGTGATCGTGTTGGTGCGCTGCTTCAGGAAGGTCTCGCCCATGCGGTCTTCAGCACCGCGAAAGACAAGGTGGATCTCTGGGAACCCCTTGGGGGCCCCCGAGGTCTGGTGAATGTGGTGTCGGCCAAAGTAGCCGGCATAGTCGACAACTTCTTGAATTGGACGGGACGCAAAGTCCTGGTCGCGGAAGGCTGTTCAGATTTGTTAGCTCCACGTTTGGAACGACCGAGAGCAAGGAAAACGGATTTTTCGATCACGTACCGACCACTCGTCGCTGTGCAACATAGAGGGCTAATTGATCCTTGCCCTTATCCGAAAGTTGGCTTAGTTGCACACCATGGATCTCAGAGCCAATGTAGGGAGTGATATGGTCGATCTCGACTTGGCCCTTAGGTAGCAGGTCTGGGAAAGAAGGGTCGGCATCTTTGCCGTGGTCATAGTGCTCGAAGAGCTCCAGTGGTGGATATCTGGACATCTCTTAGATATGACATCCATAGGGGATACGGGGCGATATTAGGGCCGTCATACCTTTCTGTCTCGTTATCCCAAACGGGCAGATACTCCGGATAGGATAAAGGCGGTACCTTGTCCGTGCCTTTGATTTCCCGCTCCTTTTCGATCTTGTATCCGATCAAGTTTTCCTTGTTGTAGCCACTGTCTGCCTTCAGCGGGAGGGAAACAGGCGGGGCCCGAAGGCTGACTGTTTCAGTGAGGGCGGGAGCCATATTGTAGGACTGAATTTAAAGAAGTGCGTGTAAATAGGCGTCTCTTTATGTTCGTGCTGTTCTCTCCGTATCTTGTCTCGTGGAGGGTTCCCACCTGCTCATATATGTCCAGATCTGCATGTTCAACCCGAGTACGGGAATTGCGCCATCCTTGCGGGGGAGAGTGACGGTATTTGCATATAACAATAACCCAAGTTCCCTTTAGCGAACCGACGACTCGGAATGAGGGTTGATCAATTGACTGTCGATAGTATGGCCATGGATGACGTGATAGAGAAATGGCGTGCGCTGACCATCGAGGGTCGCAGTGCAGATGTGCCATGGAGGTCAATAATGGCGTGATAGATATCTTCCCTCCCCTCCCCGAACATTTTTGGTGTTGGGCTACTTTTTTGGGGGGGGCTTTGAACATTTTTGATCTCTTCAACTGAGTCGTGGGGAAAGGAGATGCCAAGGAGTGTATCACTCCACATACTCTACTTAACATAGTCATAGTTCATACAACATAGAACATAGACTCCTCCCATACTATGTTCTATGTTAAATGTAGGACTGCAGATCGGTCTGAAACCGGTTGGAGCGTAGTACTCCGTAACACTTTTTCACTTGGCTCTGACTTGTGGACTATAACGTCACTTCCACTACATTGGCGTGATTCAGATCAACACACTTCAACAAGCTCCGACGGTTCTTCGTCGATTTTCAAAGACCAATCTCCAATAGTAAGAAATCTCTTGTATCTGGAACCTTTCCGTTCGAAAACACCCACCATACCGCAGAAGGCGCTTGCGACTTTGAAATCTAAACTTCAAGTGTAGTCAGCTACTTATACACCGGGTACGGAGGAGACCGTAGCAGATTGCCATTGGGTCTCTAAATGTCCCCCCTGCACATCATGATTGGCAATTCAAAACCTTTCGGTGATCATTGTTGTGACTTTTACCTTCTCGCCTGGCCCGCACATGGAGAGGCCAAAGCGAGATATCTGGTGAAAATGGCGTGATGATGAAAGGTCAATCTTGCTGTCTTTTATATGAATTGCCCATCCAACCAGGCGTTACTTCTTCTCTTCCATCCGTGATCGAAGTTCCGATCCCAAGATTGTGAGATGACGGTTGGAGAAGCCAATCAAATGGCCTCCGATGTCGAGGGCCTTGACTCCAAGGTGATCCCCAGAGTCTCATCTGCACAGTCTTCGTCTTCCTCAACGTACGAAGGCCCTCGGGCCAAGCAGACCGACTGTGCTTTCGATACGACCGAAGACCCGCGATACTACAAGCCCATTCCTGAATATGAGGGTGCCCATCGGTGGGACCCGGACTTTGAATGGACAGAGGCCGAAGAGACAGCGGTGGTCCGAAAGGTAGACACTACGGAAGCTCTCCTGTTGTGTGTTCATAATCGCTAATCCGTGTGATAGATTGACTGGCGGATTTGCACATTTGCCTGTTTGACGTTCTTTGCGCTCCAGCTAGATCGTGGAAATGTCGTCCAAGCCACATCAGACAACATGCTGAATGATATTGGCATATCCACAGATGACTACAATACTGGCCAAACGATCTTCTTTGTAACATTCCTCTTCGCCGAGCTGCCTTCCCAGCTCATCTCGAAATGGGTCGGTCCCGATCGCTGGATTCCCGTGCAAATGATAAGCTGGAGTCTCATCGCCTCGTGTCAGGCATTTATTCAAAACAAGGGCGGGTTCTTCGCGACCCGTGCCATGCTCGGTCTTCTCGAGGGTGGCTTTATTCCAGATACCATCCTATTCCTCTCCTTCTGGTACAAGTCCAAGGAGTTACCTCTCCGGCTGGGCTTCTTCTGGATGACATATGAAGCAACCTCAATTGTCAGCGCCTTCCTTGCTTTTGGCTTCCTCCACATCCGTCAATCGGATGGTACCGGGGGCTGGCGATATCTGTTTGCCTTGGAGGGTCTGATTACCGGGCTGATCGGCATCGCCGCTGCATTCTGGATGCCACCCTCGCCAACTCAGACCGCGGGCCGGTTCCGCGGTAAGGATGGTTGGTTCAATGAGCATGAAGAAAAAATTATGGTGAATCGGGTGCTTCGCGACGACCCTAGCAAGGGCTCCATGCACAATCGCCAGGCTGTTACTCCCAAGTTACTCTGGCAGGCCCTGAAGGACTACGACATGTGGCTTATCTACCTGCTTGGTCTGACCTGGATGATCCCCAGTACACCGGCTACGGCGTACATCAGTCTGGAATTGAAATCGCTCGGGTTCAGCACTTTCCACACGAACCTGCTCACAATCCCGGCCTATGTGATCTTCATCGTAAATCTATTGTTGTGGACTTGGATGTCGGAGCGGTTTAATCAGCGACTCCTGCTTGGTGTCGGTTCTGAGCTGTGGGCTTTGGTCCTCTTGATCGCGCTGGAGACTGTCTCTGAGCAGGCCAGTCCTTGGGTCCGTTGGGTTCTGCTGATCCTGTTGATTGGCATGCCGTACGTGCACGCCATTATTGTTGCCATCACATCCCGCAATGCGGGCTCCGTGAGGACGCGAACGGTGGCGACTGCTGTCTATAACATGATGGTGCAGGCTAGTAACATCATTGGCAATAACGTGAGTCCTTGTTCCGGTTACCCGTCGGGGTCAAATCATCATAGCTCACCATCACGTTCAGATCTACCGCACCAAAGATAAACCGTATTATCACACGGGTAACAAGGTCCTTATGGCTCTTGCGGTATGGAGTATGGCGATATTCATCATTGCGAAGCTTTACTATGTGAAGCGTAACAAGTGTGTTAATCTATTACACTCTGATTGGCCGTGTGACCTTGGCTAACATTTGCTTCTAGACAAAATGCCGCTCTCTGGGATAAAATGTCCAGCGAAGAACGGTCCCGATATGTTGTTGAAAACAAAGATCTTGGAAACAAGAGGTATGCAATGGCACTTGTCTTGTGTCGTGCGACTAGATGCTAATGACCGCGCTTCAGACTGGACTTCCGATTTTTACATTAGGGTCCGAGACCCGACTACATTGTCTGGCACATATGGGATTAGAAGATAGAGACAAGAGGCAGTACACGCATCAAAACAAAATCATGAGCTGAACTCATGAGGCATCAATGTCATCAATTTGTTCTCGTCACCGAATTCTCACAGCCGTAATGCCTGACGAAGATATATCAAGTTAAAAAAAAAGACCCAAATCGCATTCTTCTTACTCTCCAATCACAATCCAAACCTCATGAAGTTGTCCAGCAAGAGCATCAACTCTCTGTTCAACTCGGAACGTCTCCTTAATTTCCCCATGCAGTTGAGCACTTTCACCAGGATATGTCAGTGTCAGAGATCCACCGCGGAGTAGGTGGTTTTGTCAGACCGCTACGTGAGTGCAGGGAATACTGGGTGTTGCTGCCGGGGGCCAGCATCAGTATATGCACCCGCAGACCAACAGAAACCCCGAATTGCGGCCGATTCAATCGGAACTCCGATTTTGAGTGTCACATTTCCACAAAAAGCATCCCTGTGCATACCTGCTATCGGTCCAGGTGAAGACATGTCGAAACCTCCACTCGCGGATGAGACGCTCGCTCTCGGTGCGTGTGCCTCTTGGTCATTTCATGAAGGTCTGGCGTCAGAGTTTTGATTGTCAATTTCTAGTGGGTGAAATTGCAAAATACTCGAGGAAGATGAAGCCCATCGCGTCGGCCCCGGGTAAAAATGCCAAGTCACGGAACACTTCCTTTTCTATTGTAGGGTACACCTCCTGCCGCTTTACAAGACCCAGCGAATCACAGTCATTGTGAACCGCAGTTTAGCCTGAATCTTCAAGGATACCCGATTTGATCATAATACCCGAGGGCATTCCAGGATCTGACGAGCCCTAGAACGCTTCACTTCGAGGTCTGTCCACCGTTGTGAACAGACTGGACCATCCCGAATGACAGGAGAATTTAAATGGCCATGCGAATCTACAACCACACAAGATGCTTGGCATTAGGGACCTACAAGATTTTGAGACGTTGGACATTTTCGGTTGCTAGTCGAGGGCTGCCACTCAGGCACCCCTCGGGCCTACCCCGGAATTGTACCCACGTATTCTTCCGGTTTCCTGGCCCAAACGTGAGAGATCGAACAGATCATAAACACACTAGTTCGATGTCTTTTTTTTTTTGTTCGGCTCCACATCTGCACCTTGGCAGTGGCTTGCCGGGCACTTAGTAAGCATCCGCTACGAAAACGCGTGGGTTGAATACGCCCGCTGTACGCATTCCTTTCCGAGCAGATAGTGAGCCGGCCCAGCCAAGCCCCAACGCCCATGAACCCTGGCTGAAACCACCGGTTAACCCATCATGCGCGTGACAAGGAAGGCCAATCGGTTCAGAGCCATGTTGACGAGTATGGATTCGGTAGAACTGGAGAGAGTCGCGTGCACATCCTCTGCGTAGTACTGGTTTGGGTGATGTCATAGACTCAAAGTGTTCCCACGTGGGGGCTATCGACTATATCTTTGTATCTGCACATGTTGCTCATGCAGGACCAAAGTACTTGAAGAAGCCCAATTTAACGTGATTATTCAGACCCCATCTGATCTAGTGTGGCTGGACTGGGCCTACTCGTCCACTCCCAATAAGATATGTCAACCCTCCATCGACTGAAAGCACAAAAGTTGGTCGTATTTGATGATCAGAAAAAGCTAGAAAGAGTACAGAGAAACAGACGAACACCCCGGTCGAACCCATTGCGTCGTTCACCCCAGGCCAAAGAACGGTGGGATATCACTCTCCAAGATAGATTCGTAGGGCCCTCCATCTGTTTGGTCGTGTTGAATTCGAGATCCCAGGAGAAGCCTTCATGATACCGGGAGGGGCATGTTGTCGGAGCATCGGATCATATGCGGGGGCCGCATGGCCATATGACTACAAACTGCATCTGTTTGCGTGATAGATGTGCAACACAGGCCCTCGCATCTTTCACATACAAGGCGTGTGACAGATGTGACAGTTCTTGCCTGGGATCACCCAAATTTCTTGCCCCTGCGCTTCGCAATTGGGGCATCGTACACCGGGCATCTATGGGATAATTAGTATGTTTCAATAGACGGACTCGACGTACAACATCGATGATGAAGCAGCGGAGTATGAACCTTGGTGTCGGTAGCGGAGTTTGAGCACGCCGGCGCGGCACATATGGAAGAGGAAGTCATGGTATTTTGGTACCCAAGAAAGAATCAAAGAAGAAGATAAATGGAATTTTTCGCGAAGTCCGAAGATGGCGTTCTTATTGCTCCCAAGTCGAAGTCTGAAGACAAGGCTATGGGAATCGGATGAGGAGGGGTCCTTATAAGGCCCGGAAAGTAAAGGAAGAACCCAACGGAGTAGAATAGAATCTAGTTCCCAATGGATACTTCAAAGGCGAAGAAAGAAATCAGCGAAATACTAAAAAAAAAACAAAAAAAAAAAAAATTTAGGAATCCCAAAATTATCACAAACTTAGGACGCTCGGTAGTTCCCGCGGCCCTTTGTTTCCCCCAATGATACCAGCGCTACCAAGATGGAAGTTTTGTTCTGACGGTTTGGCTTTTGCTGCACCAGTATCTCATCACTCTTTCTGTACGCCACTGGCCCACTTGAGCCAATCACAGCAACGTCCTCGGTACCTCCCGAGGACTCCGGGCCTTTGGAGGTTGATGATTGCTTCCTCCGGTCCGAAGGATTGACGATTCAAGGGGATCAGACAAAGAAACGCAGTAGGTGTGCTTCAGAACCTTGCATCAATTCATCGATACCCTGGGAAAAAAAAAGGGGGGGGGGGGGGGAGGGGGCGAGACTAGGATTGTAACACTTAGCAGAGTGAAGAGATGATGTGTCAACCCCAGAACCTTATGGCAGGTCCCAAGATAAGTCTAGTGCTCGGTCATTCTCGGTCATTCTCGGGATATGATTGGTTGATGGGACTATATATGGGTCCCCGCCAGTCCACCAGAAACGATCTGGTCTGATCATTGGCTGTGTCAAAGTGGGTCGTTGGTCGTTCAGATAGATCGTCACCCTGTTGTGTCTGCAAATTTCATGAACGTGACGCATGAACCCCTCCAGGAGAGGTGAACTGTCAAATTCGTTCAGATGACATGTGTATCTGAAGAACCAGATCGGGCTTTGTGCGTGGACTTGCCAATTACTCGACAGAGGTCCTAATCTTCTAAGTGGGAGTACTGAGGACAGATGTAGATGTCTCAAATTGAGATCAATTAGGCGACGTGGGATCACTTTCGAACCATACTGGGATCGGTGAATATGCCGGTTAACTTGACTTTCTATCTGTTGATCCCCACTAGCCATGTTGATCAATCTGACGCATTTTCGCTTGGCGCGTTGATCGCTCGTAACGCTAGGCCCTCAAAGGTGATATTTTCGTCTCACTCTCACCGATCTTCCTCTGCATGGTGTGAATCCCGTGGTGGGGGTAAAGGGGAGGGGTTATGGCTCGCAGCATGCAAGTATTCTTGTGTTTCACCAACGCACTATCTGTACACAACATAGGCTTAAGGGAATTTCGAAGTTCAAGACTGGACTGTTGCCCCACGTTCTTATGCATGGCTTGCCAACAATCCACTGCGTTGAACACAATAATACCCCGTTATAGTCCGTCTCATCCGTCGTTAGTTTTTCTCTCTTTTCGAGGTAGGGTCAGTAATACACACAGCTAACCAAAAAGGGTCAGGGCAAAGACGATCCCGAAACTACTAGAATCGTAGACGACATACAGATCTATGCTGGCGTTATACAGGAAACTAGCATCTTCAACCCGGTGGTATACTCATGCGGGGCATCGGTACAGTGCATATCATGCGGCTTATCATGATTAAATGGGTTCTACATATTACACCAGCGCGATGCGACAGTAAATACGGAGGGACCTTCGTATGTACCCACTTCAAATGCCAACGGAGCCGCCTAGCTCAAATAAGACATGATCGACTCAAAGCTCGGTCTTTATGCCTTTATTCAGACACCCTCAGGAAAAAAACATTACAATATACAAGGCCATTAGTGAGTTGGTTCTAGTGGCTGTTTACTGCCAACGAAACTGTTGCGTCTACTGCTCTGCATATTGCCGCTCCCCCCTAAGAAGTGAAAAGCTCAAATGCCAACGTGCCATTGTTGATATGTAACGTCCTCAAATCAGATCTGCATGCTGACTGGCATGATGACATCTTCATAATCACTATCGCCAATCTGTAACCTATCATTTTGCGCTATAAATGGGGTGGGAAAGAGGTAGTGAAACACAAACCAACAAGACTCGTCACATTTGTCAGATGTCGGCGTGCCTTTCTGCAACCTTTTTGTTCCTGGTGCTCCTGAAGTGGAAATGCGCTGCATGGCATGCGGCCCAAATCCCGCCCAGAAATATACAGCGGTTCTGGCGCTGTGTTTCTTTAAATGGCTTTCGGACGTGTTTTGGAAGATGTCAGAGTGTGTCACATCCATGTCGCCCAACAAGTCTAGAGACAGATACACAGACTTCGGTGACAACATCCTCTGTGTAGTTAAGAGACCTGTTTTACAATATTAACCAGCAAGATTCCCCCAGCCTTTTCGCCGGCGCATTCATGGAGGTGAATCAATCGATAGCCTTCCCGCAGTCGGTCAATTCGGATGCAAGCCCACGCAGCTAACGAGTCCCGACCGATCTCATCGTCCTTGATCTTGATTCTAAAGAAGAAAAGGCAGAATCAAATCAGTGGCTTGCTTATACATCATGCTAGCACCGTCAAATGTGAAACCACAATAGGGCAGCGTGCATGATAGTGGAGGTGGTGCTGAGGAAAGGTACAGGTCGCCCAAGCCCAGTACAGGCATTGTGTTACCCAGGGGGCAGCTTGGAAGAAGCAAATACCAAAGCCCAGGCATCATGTTTATGTGATGCGGGCCCACGCATGCGTATTTCGACGGGTATCACAATGCACGATTTATGCCTGCATACTCGAACCCCAATTCATGTGAGGGGAGGGAGAAAGGCAGCAAGGGGAAAGCTTGTGAAGCAGGAAAGAGGACAAAGTACGAGGCAAATTACTCGATAGATGGATGGAAGCAAGAGATCGGAAAGGAAGACTGACCGTAGGAAGCTCAGCTCCTCAACTATCCCCGCCACGGTCGGGAATTGCAACTTCTGACCCTTGAAGTCCGGGTTACGACCTGAAGAACTCTTCGTGCACCGCCTGTAGCTACTTTTCTCTGTGTCGGAACTCGCGTCGTCCTGGTCCGAGGTAACATCGCCTTCCGGTTCTTCGACGTGCAGCTGGCAGTTCACATAGGGTTTAAATCCCCTCTCGCTGTGATTGCCCGGCGGCAGAGAGAGATGTTGCGCGGCGAAAATCTCGATAGAGAGTGTTAAGCTACGACGGTCGATAACATCCGTCGGAGTATTTTTGCTGCTTCGGTACCCGGAGGGCTTCAATCGCCAGCCGCGGCTTCCGACAAACATTCCATGATTGAGCATCATGCCCTTATCAAGGTTCTGCCAGTTCAATGCTACTAGCTGAGCGCCACGCCGCCAGTAGAATGTCGGATCGAAGTTCGACGAGGTGACTCGGAATGCGTACGGGTAGATACGCATCATCGATGTTCGATTGTGCTCGAACAAGGCGTCGCGGTGGTTGGCATGGGCTTCTCGCGCTGCTCTCTCGGAGAGCGAGAACACATGGAAAGGAATTCTGGCCTCTGTTGATCAAATTAGCATCGCCTTCGTGGCCATATTTAGAATGGTGTTGGGTACCCGGTTGATCAAAATGACTGAAGTGATACGCGCGAGTATAGACAGCCATCTTGGCCAGAGCGTCAAGAATCTTGGCTGGCTTCAGCGGCTGCTGCCCCGAGGACGTATCATCGGATTGTTGCGGCGTCAGCGCCTCTCCTTCGATTTTCTCGTCCTCGTCAACGAATGGAACACATTTGCTTTTAATCAAAATTTTTTTTTTCAATTCCACCAGCGAGGGAAGATTCCCACCCTCCGGATGAGCCTCCACGAGCAATCCTTTCCACGCCTCCAGCATGATATCCACCATTGTCTGTTGCTGCTCAAGAGACGCATGTACCTCAAGACTGATGACCAGTGGGAGATCACTGGCAACAAAGGCACTGTCCCGGATTGCATAGCAGATTTCACGGAATGTGGTTCCCTTGGTCAGGGTGTGACCATGCAGAACACGAGGCTCAATGGGGGCAGGCATATGGCTCGTTGCAGTCTCTGCATCGAGTGGTCGCTTGGGCGACTTGACAGATTTGCGACGAAGTACGCCACTAAGTTTGGCTTCCAACTTGGACGCGACTGATTCTTTCTGTCCTTTGGCGTGTTTCTCGTTGCTACTTTTCTTGGCCTTCGCCTTTTCTTTTAACTTGCTCCCAGAACTGCTCCCTTCTTCAGTCTCGGAATCACGGCTGTCGCTGTCGCTGGAGTTTGCGGTGTCGGATTCTCCATCCCAGACATCAATCTCGACCGACCTGCAGCCGCGGAGGAGGACCTGTTGAATCGTGAGTAAATTGAAATCCGGGTCCTAGGAGCTCATTACATCCCACGGAACGTAATGGCAGGACCATTCTGCAAAGCCGCAACTCACAGATGTATAGGCGCTAGCAGCAGCGTCTCCGTAGAGCTGATTACCCGTCAAATAGGTGTTGTGGCTCGACGAGATGAAGTAATCTGAAATCGGGGCGGAAAGATCCAAAGCTTCTTCAAGTGCCATCGCAGACGAATTCGCATCTTTCATGTAGGCACGAAACGCATCAAGAGAAGCCAAAATGTCGGCGACAGGCTCGGGAGAAGTTGCGACGGTAGTGTCATGCTGCACTTCTTGGAGGAAATAGTTTGTAGTTGGAGCACGCGTATTTACAGTCGTGTAGATCCTTTGGAGATGATCGTCCAAAGATGGGTGGAATTGGTCAACCGTGTATGTTGGTGTCTCGGGTGCCTCGTGAAGTACTAACTGTTTGGCACGGTCCACGAGAGCTTCGACTTTCTCCATTTTGCACTGACTTATTCTTAGTGGGCTATTCGTATGCCGTGTCGGAGATGCATATGCAACCTTATGGATGTTTCGGAAGGGGTAGTCTTGGAAAACAGATTGCCCTGTTTCAGCTGTGCCGTGTGTTTCTGAATTTCAAGTTGAATACAATGTTCCATCGAGGTAAAAATGACAATATGCCGTGGATGAGAAAATCCCAGGGTGACCCGTGCGTCCAACTCCCCCCACTGCCAACGTGGCACGCCTCTGCCTATATCGATATACGACCTGCGACCTTTGATTCTCAACCGTTCGTGAGATCGCTATCCTTCAAACGGAGTAAATTTTCAGGCAAGGTGGATTCATTCAAGACAATCTCGTTTTACTGCTTCGCAGCATCATGGAACATCCATGGATATGAGACTGAATCCCAAAGGAATAGTTTCAGGCCTATTAGCAACCGACCAAAAAGCCTCTTGATTAGTAGAAGTTAATTCTCTACGCTTCTAAACCCAAATTCCAGCTGATAAATCAAAAGCCCCGCGGTCGAAGGTCTTATAAATCCCCAGGTAAAACCACTCAACGATGTGAAACAATCTGACTCCTTCCAGCTTCAACTCTTAAGAGATACAAATTCTACATCCATCAAACTATGACTGAATCCAAGATTCATTTCTTCGATCTCCTCTCAGACCTACCTGGTATGGACCAAGCCCCGAAGTTAGGTGATACTGCAAACAGACCACTGACTCAACCAGGACCTTCCAAGTCATGGTCTCCCTTCACTTTGCGGACCAGAATGGTCCTTAACTTCAAGGGGATCCCCTACACCCAAAGCTGGATATCATACCCCGATATTGAACCTTTCCTCAAGGCTCAGGGTGTCACACCTGGCAAGTCATCGACACCCTACACACTGCCGGCAATCAGCCATAAGGGGTCAATAACGAGTAACCCAGACGGGGTGCTCATGGATTCTGAGTCGATTGCCACGTACATCGACAAGGTGTACCCATCGCCACCGCTATTCCCCTCCGGCGACGCAAGCTACTCGCTCTTAGTCGCCGTGCTGAATATTATAGACAAGATCGCACCATTTTACAAGCCACTGATAATTCCGAACGTTCCGTCGGGACTGGATGAACGTGGACGGGAGTACTTTATCCGGACGCGGTCTGCGGCTTTCGGGAAGCCGCTTTTGGAGGTCAAGCCAACGGACGAGGCAGAGTTGCTTGCTCTGTGGCAGCTTATCGAGGAGGTGGCGGAACCGCTCGTTGTAATGTTGAAGGGCAAGAATGGGAAGAAGGGACCGTTTTTGGAGGGTGAGAGGGCTGGCTATGCGGACGTTGTTCTCGCTGCGCTTTTGGCTTGGTTCCAGCGCTTTGGCCCGGACACCTTTAAGAAGATACTTGATCTGGGGAATGGGGAGTTCAAAGCGTTTTATGAAGCTTGTTTGCCCTGGCTTGAAGGGCAGGGCGAGGAGAAGGACTGGCCGATTTCCCAGTGAAGGTAGATTGCCTTGGGATTTTGTCAGCGATAGAGAGGAATGCTCGGGATAATCCGCGGCCAGGCTTAGATCTGAGACAAGTGTCATTTGATATATAGCACAATCGAAACGCAAAGCAATGTAATAATACATCCCGGGTGCTCCAAAAAGCCCGGTCTATCCAATATCCAACACTATGGAGGTGGTTCTGGGCGCCTGCGACACAACCTCATCAAGGAAAGTACAATCGCTTTCATGTGTTCCACTCGAATTGATGTGAAACAAGCTTAGAGACCACGCAGGAAATTGGACTCCTTGATGGCCTTCCGTCTGGCATCGCGTGCGCTCTTGATAATCTCCGAGCGCTGCTCGAAGCCTTCGGTGGCGTCGGCCATAGCATCCGCTGAAGGTGCGTCGCGGTTGTAGGGTGCGGGGGTGATGTCATGAGCGTGGTGGTGAGCGGGAATTTTAGCGGCGAGGGGGCCAGTACGGGCGGCCAGCTTCTTTTCATAACGCTTTCGTTGCTTCTTGTTCAAGGCTGCGACAGGGTAAGCATCTTAGAATCAAAAACGGAAACCCAGGAGAGATCTTACTGCTTGGGTCAACACCGCCCTGCTTTGTCTTTGCGTCCTTGGTAGAATCCCCCAAGAGGTTCCATAGCCAATCTGGGTACTCAGAATCCTCTTTGGCGAAGACATCCGGCTTGTTCTTAAAGTAGTTGAGTCCGTTCAATTTGGTCCCGGCCGGACAGCTGCTCGGTGGGCGCACGGCAGTAGGTTTTGTGGGGGCCCCGGCGTTGGAATCTGCGTGGACACCTTCGGGGGTGGTCAAAGGCTGAGAATCGCCGGGGGTGGCGGAAGAGATAGCGGACGGGGTTGTGAGGTCACCGACCGTGGGTTGGCGGGGGGAGGGCGGAGAAGGAGTAGCAGCCACAGGAGGGTTGTTGTCACTGCTGTATGAACGGAATTGACTGCGGACCAGAGGCAGCTGGCGTGCGCATGCTGAAGCCGTCCGGATCACTGGCTGCTGGTTGAATCGAAACAGCATCGTCGTGCGGCAGCTTTTGCAGATCATTATGGAGAGACAGATTAAGGGTAGATGGAGAATAGACTAGGCCAATGTCATGAAGTTTAATAGAAGGCCCTGGACGATAAGGAATCCCAATTGCGTTGGAGATGCAATAAAACACGCGCGGACAAAGCTGTCGCAGAAAACTGCGGCCATATTTGCTGCCAAGACAAAAGAAATGACACGTGATACGTCAACAAACATAGTGTACACCGTAGAACAGCTTCTTCTCTTGCTACAAGGCTCTGGCTTGTTCCTAGATGAAGTGCATCACTAATTGATTTCCTCGGCAAGCTACGACTCCCTAAACTCCTTGTCTTGACCTCGTCACCCAGACTAGTTGTGCCCAGATGTAGAAAGTAGAAAGTTGTGTCATGTGACACTACACATATCCGCATGAGATTCTGTAAGGATCGCATGGTTTCTATTGGATAGTGCTAAACACTAACGTATTCGGTAAGCGAGCTGGCCACCCCAACCAAAACGCGTCCATGAATTAGATCTTAGTTAGTTCAACCACCCACTATGCCACCAATTCGTACTCAATCCTCTCGAAGATCACGACACGTGATCTCCGACCTGTTTATCTGAACTTCAGTTCTAGATCCTGTTGTAGCTCTGGGAGCTACGTCTTGTATAATAGCCTGCCCCTGCCTGTACCTGTCAATGGGAATCTGATCTGTTACGACCTGTTCCTACTAGTCATCTCCTATCATACCGTCCTGCCAGCCCGCACCCTGACAGAAGTCGTTACTAAGTACCACGTTATACCCCTCTATATCGACCGCCTATACTACCTTTATTCTAACATGCCAAGCCCTCGCTTATCCAACATGAAGCCTCTTTTCCTGTGACCGAGTGTTTGGCCCAAGCGCCGCTGAGTAGCGGCCTCAGGCACCGAGAGTATGCAAACCCTGCAATCCTCTAGGGAGCACACGCACATAGTCCCTACAACATTGAGGATCTCGGGGCCGAAATTTATATATTTCACTGCACCCGCAGTGGGATATCTCGTATCTTGCCCTAACCTTTCAGCCCCCGAGTTGAATGCTTTCGCATAATTAATCAGGATTAGCGGCCTGATTTGCCCATGGGATGGCACGCACCACATTCAGCCAACACCTGTGGATTGGTTCTCGACTGCAAACAATCTTTGAGAAACTACTACAAATTCCAGGGATAGGAAGCTCTTGTCAATTTGCATATAGCGAGAAAGCGACACATCTAATTGACTCTGTACACCCATAGGGGAAAACGGTACAAAGATCGACCGAGAATGTTCGCAAGTTACAAAACTCCAACCAATATGCCAAATCAAACAGAAAATCGACAGTAATTATACGGAAACACATGCCACTAAAGGGTTATTGTTCCGATGAGCAGGTATATTTGGAACAGATAAGAAAAGCAAACAAGACATAACTATGACATCGGACCAACAGTCTGAGGACGCTCTGAAGACAGACCACTGACATCCAAGAAGTTGCAGATGTCCTGACACGCATCCTTCAGGCTCTTTTCTGTCTTCCACTGAAGCTCTTCTGTCGATCGGTCGACGACCGCAACACAGGCTCCAACATCACCCTGACGACGTGGCGCGGCACGTCGAGGAATGGGCTTCTCAATAACAGACTCCATGGTGGTGACCACATCCATTACGGAATTTCCCTTTCCAGTTCCGAGATTGAATGTGCGGAAGTTCTCTGTTAGTTTGCCCCTGTTGGCCGAACTGAGCGCGGCAATATGCCCACGAGCCAAATCACTCACGTGGATGAAGTCACGGACAGCAGTCCCATCCTCAGTTTCCCAATCTGTACCAAACATCGCTAGTTCAGAGTACTGACCGGTCATGACTTTGACAACGACAGGAAGCAGGTTTGTTGGTGCCTGTCTTGGGTCTTCGCCCAAAAGACCGGAAGAATCACAGCCAACGGGGTTGAAATAGCGGAGTGCAACAATGGTCCATTCGGGGTCTGATGTGGCCAAGTCCGCCAGGATGGTTTCACACATCCATTTTGTGCGACCGTACGGGTTTGTGATACCAGTGCATCCAGGTTGGATAGATTGTTGTGAGCCTTCATGATCTATGTACAACTCTTCCTTGTGAACACAGAGTTCCTCTTTCAATGGAAGCCCAGAGGTTGCAAGGGTTCCATATACGGTGGCGGACGACGAGAAGATAAAGGTCTTGATGCCGAAGGCTCCAAGTGTTGTGGCGAAGTCGACAAGCCCACTGACGTTATTTGAGTAATACTTCAGTGGCATCCGAATGCTCTCCTCTACAGCTTTATACGCTGCAAAGTGGATGACTCCGGCGATTCTCGACTTGGGAGCTCCCCACTGAGACGGGAGTCGGTACTCTTCGAGCAGCGGCTGAAGGGTTTTGGTGTCGCGATAGTCGTGTGCGTGCAACCGCAGAGATGGCATTTTCGTGCCATTGGCCTCATGATGCTTTTTGGCCAAAAGGCCGATGCGGTCGAAAACGTTTTCGAATGCATTGCTAAGATTGTCGATCACAATGACGTTGTAGTTGGCCTTGAGCAGCTCAAGCGTGGTGTGACTGCCGATAAAGCCGAGTCCACCAGTGACAAGAATGTGGCTTTGCAAAGGGAGCCCGCGCAACAAGTCAGGGAGATTGTCGAATGGGTCTCCAGCCTCCGTTGCGGGTGTGTCCAGGGCAATAGGAGATTCCACAGGGCTGCCTGCATCGGACCTCTGGGGGCTGTTCGCTCTCGAGGAGGCAAAAGATGTTGGCTCAATCATGGCGAGAAGTTAACAATGAATGTCAGGCAAGTTCTGCTACCACAGCAAACCAAGATAGAAAATGACCTATGTTGTTAAATGGCCACGACCGAGATATGCTCACTCTTCGGTGGGCCCTTAACCAAGGTTTTATACTAAACAAGCGAGGTACCTGTGTTGCTTCACTCGGGTTCTCCGTCTGGGCTAATCTATTGTGCCATCCTTCCTTGGCGAATGATGATCCATCACAGTTCCCCTGACAAAAATAGAAGAAAAAGAAACAAAAGGGATAAGCATACGCGGATTAACCCCCCCAAAAGACATCGTGTAAGAGGGGCAGTATGCATACGGAGTACCTGGAACAGAACCATCGGGCAAGATGCCCCTTGGTGGGCCGGACATGCGGCTGGGTCTTGGGGGTATCATTTGGTCCGAATGCCCTAAGTGCCCCTCTACCTATTTGTCAGGACCTCAGCTCGAGCTAGTATAACAATGGAATTATTATTTATTTCTATTTTCAGAATTTCTTTCAGTGTTTTTCTTGCACGGGGTATTTTCTTTGTATTTTCTTTCTTTTTTTCCAACGCCTCAGCCAAGGCCTGTTCTATATGTGGTCGAGGCCCCATACGCATGTTTGGGCCGGGACAACTCAGTCTCACCAGCAAATTCTTTCGATGTGTTTTTATTTAAATGGCCACCAGTGTTTGAAAAATTTCTTGCTAGTATGTAACCGGTAGTGCTCACGATTCCACTTTCTTTATTTCGACTTTCCCTCTGTAAAATGTCGGACCCCGAAAAACACGTGAGCAAGCGGACATGTCTTAAGTCGAAGCGTTCTCGTTTCTTAGCAATTGTGCTTCTAATTGTGATCATTGCGGCCGTTATTCCCTCCGTTGTCGTCACTACTCTCCGCAAGAAGAATAACATGGGTCCGAAAGCGAAGGTCTTCGTTCCACTCTACGTATACCCTGCTCCCGAGGCGTGGGCTCCGCTGGAAAATGTGTATGTTTTAAACCCTTGTTCATCCCAATTTCTTTTCTCTCTCAGTTTACGGAGTGCTTTCTACCCCGGCCAGTAGCCCACTACAGTCATCATGTCACGCCGTTTGTGCGTCAAACCATGCCATCAAATATAATTTTTTTTTTTAAAAAAAGAATGAAGTCGTGGAAAACAGCTACTGAACGCCACAGGATATCTACCCACCCCGAGGTCAACTTTACCGTCGTAATAAATCCGGGAAATGGTCCAGGGCCCGACTCTCTCCCGGATGGCAATTACACCCGTGAGATACCAAAGCTCAATGCTTATGCAAATGTGCGGCTGTTGGGTTATGTGTATACCTCATATGGAAAGCGCGACGTTTCTGCGGTTCGCGAGGATATCCAAACTTATGCCGACTGGCCGACTAATTCCTCCAACCCCAATCTGGCAGTTCGAGGAATTTTCTTCGATGAAACACCTCAGCAATACGATGCTCAAACCATGACGTATCTGCAAGGGTTGAAAGACTTTGTCAAGGACCGTCAGGATCTTGGCCCTGATCGATTTGTGAGTCCAATTCTTTCGGGAGTCTATTTTTACTTTACAACTTGTTCACTGCCCCGTCCCATGCACCCCTATCTCGCATCATCGTAGGCCTATATTTTGGCATCTTTGTTTTGGTTCGTTCTGTTTTGAATTTTCATCTCTCTCGGTTCCATGTCACTTACCCAAGCCACACGATGGCTTTCTTGACTTTTGTCCCAACATCACAATTTCAACCCCGGCATCCCCCACAATGGTTTCTCCTTCTGGGATACATTGGTGAAGTACGTTCAACTAATCGACTATGTCAGGTTGTCCATAATCCCGGCGCTATACCCGATTCTCGGTACTTGGCAACCGCAGATTCAACCGTTGTTTTCGAAGCCGCCTACACTACTTTCCAGGAACGGCATGGCGCCAAGCTATTTACCAATATCGCGGACAGCAATCGTACTCAACTTTGCGCTATCGTTCACTCTGTACCTGAAGCTGTCGAGGGCAATGCCCTTCGCAGCTTGGTTAAGCAGGTGCGCAAGGTTGCGGATGAGGTGTACATCACCCATCTCAGCACAGACTATTATGCCTCCTTTGGGTCCAGGTGGATTGAGTTCGTCAACCTGATGGCAGAGTAGGGGTTGGATTTCTGTATTTAAAAGGTTTGTTCTAGTCTGATGTGCAAGCGAAGTAAATTGGGCCAAGCAAGTATGTGCATATTCAATTTTAGCCAGCATCTTTTTTACTCATTTGAGTTTATTGATCCTACGAGCCGATAATAGTTTATTGCTAGTCCATTTGAGTTTTCTTGATTGTCGGCATAGAACGGAAGGGAAAAATTTCTGATTCTCCTTCTATTCTTTCAATGGAAGGCAAGCCGTCGTTGTTAGAGGTAAGCTAGACTTTTTAGGTCGAGGTGGAGTTTATGGGTGGAGAATGCATGTATGGTGGTAATTTTCATTCGTTATTTTTGTCTTTTTTGTCTTTTTGTCTTTTACCATACCAAAAAACGCTCGCAAGATCTGCTAATACAAAAAACATAAAGCCACACAGGTAATTAATTTATTCTGACCAAAAGGAGGTCCTGTAGATTGGAACATGTGGCAATGCAAAATTATGATTGGATGGCGGACCATGGGGATTTATCTCAAACTGGAGGGTGGATTTTGTATGTGGTTGTAGGGCATCCGCTCGATGCGAGGTGTAAGGCAAATATGGCTCAACATTGTCTGGCATGACTCGGTTTGACTAATCACATAGAAACCCTCAAAATTTTTCCTTCCCGGGGTCACGATCCAGACCAGAGTCCTTTGTAAAGTCTCTGAGTTGCTGCCCTTCCGATTGATCTACGACATATGAAATTTGCAGGTAGCGTCCGGTTGGCCCACAGCCTATGCCATCTCAAGGCTCGGTGAAACTCCCAAAACAATCCTGTAAGATTGGCTCTCAAATTTCTTGACCGGGCATAACAGCGCCACCGTTTCAACTAGTGATGGACATCATGCTTTTTATTCACTGCCTGGGATGTGTTGAACTGGAACATCTTGAGACAGACTAACCCGATTTACCAGCTGTAGTGAGATCTAAGGCTCAGATTGTCTAAGATCAGCGTGGGAGACAACCTAGACAACAGATGCAGGTGATAGCATTCACCATTGGCGTTTGTCATCGCTATGCATAGCAAATATCCACAGTCGTTTTCCTGCGATGCAACGTCGCATTGGAACAGGAACATTATACGGAGTAGTATTCCGTCTGCACATGGGTTTAACGTGGTACAACTATAGGTGTGTCAAGTTGTGCTGTACGAACTTGACCTGTCTCATTCAATGGGGCCATTTTCCAAGAACCAAGCCGGCATAGGATGTTGTTACACCGAGATATGACAAACAACTGTCAATGCCAATGAAGATTTCACCCATTTCACCCGTCCCCGTTCCCGGTCTTTCGCGCAAAGGAAGATACTACAGCCATAGGCAACATTCATTGTTTACCTGCAGATGATACTGCGCGCATATGATGCCTCTACAGAACCAGGTTCTTCCCTAGTACTCCGTCGTTCGCCGCAAGATGCAGTTCGGGGAAACCGCCTTATCCACCTCACCCTTGTTCTTCAGCACATGCGCACATCAAAACAAATATCCGTAGCTGAGGTCATACCCCTGATACTAAGCCTCGGTGGTGGAAGCCACTACCACCTCGTGGCATGGTCGGGTATTTCGGAAGGAAACGATTCTTGATCTATCTTTGCCTCTCATGTAGTTGCTGCGGAGAACTGGACTGATGCAGTAGGAGATCTGCCAATCATTCCTACCATACTATGGAGTCGACCTAAACATAGTTGAGGTTTTGCGAACTGACGCCATTCGACCGTTAGACGCTAACAGGCATGGGTACCAAATATCAGCGTTCGGGGAAGGAACGAAAGATGCCGATATGGATTTTGGCTGCTTGATCGATCAGCTACTAACATGCATGGGTAGACACGTCTAAATCCGAGCTGATGGCGAACGGTTCTCTGTGCATGCATCCGGGTTCAGTTCGCATGGTGTTCGCCGTTCGGTGTTCGGAAAAGCCACCAATTCAATTCGAGCATTTCAATTATGGTTACGGAGTACTAACAACCATTTTTCTGAACTGTGGGTCGTAGATAGTACGATCTTCAATAGTTCTTGCTCAGTGTAATCGTCGGATCGGGCTACCACCCCAAGCGACCCACCATCCTACCACTTCGGATGTTACTTTCCGCCAAAGGAATCATAGGCCGTGTTGCAGATATTCGCGCCGGGCAGAGTGAACGTAAATGCAAACAAGTGGAGGGAACACATAAATAGCCGCCGCGGAGCGAAACCACCAATCGCTAGGGTTGTGGTCAGGAACGGGTGTAGATCAGCCTGGGAAAGCCACTCGGGTAGTCGATCTTAGCGCATTTCCATCCATTGGATCATTGCGTTTTGTGGCCACGTGAGGCGGGCAGATTCCAAGGTTCTCTTGTTGTTGGTTGGTGGGTATCTCACACGTGGCCATACTGAAGGCAAACATGCAGAGAGAAAATCCGCCCCTTTTTCTGAAAGTGACGATGCGTTCCTACTGGCTATTCTGATCGGGTATAAGCATCGACGCTGGAGACTCAAAGTGCTTCCGAGTTTACCGGTCCTTGGGATCGAGATCGCCTGAGACATGCAAACTTTGTCATGCGATGAAACAAGGTTGAACTATGGTTCGTCTGGAAATAGTAGAGCCGCTAGACTCTAAAACCTTCCGAAGTTTTTTTTTCCCACGTGGTGTGAATGAAGCATAACACAACATGGCATTATGCGGTACGACATACCTATCTTAGTAAGTTATCCACTAAATTGTGACCAGTTTCCAGTCCAGGGGGTTTATGCAATAAGCTGACATGTTATGATAAATCGATTCCGGCAAACGCGGTCTGAACACACCAAGGGCGGAAAATACATTCGAGGTCTGCGGAGTTACCCGGGTCCCTGACTAAGGATACGCAAAATACATCCAATAACCAAGTCTCAACTTTCAGTGTGTATTTAAATCTGCAAACATACGCCCCAAAAATACCTCATACATTACCGGACGAGCCCCACTTCCCCCAAAGCCCCCACGTCGAATGTTCCAGGTTAGATGAACTCTCGAACCTGACCAATTAGACCCAATTCATCCACATGCCAAGGTTGCCAAGACGAGCATAACTGTCTGTCACTGATTGAGTTTCCTTGGGAAGTTCCATGGTTGCTTGCGATGAAACCCCTGATTTTGTTTCACTGAAGTCAGAAGCACGGGGGCGTACTAGGTTTTTTCTCTACTCCAAAAAAATACCTACAAACAAAGAAGTAGTCTATAGTTACCAAAACACAAGAGAAAATGGATGATGATTCGATCCTGTTACAAATTCGATTGGATTTGTATCCGAGCGTCTCAAAGCTTTGGCCAAATAAACCACAAGCAATGTCTAATACCTTGTACGTAAACAGAAAAAGAAACCTACTATTGCCTGATGGCTGATCTGGCACAAAAGCCTGGCTCTCACACGGAGTATGGTAATCTTGCCCGAATTCTCTGTCGAGTCACGCCATGAACAAACTGTACAGACGGAAGATTCGGAGAATTAGACATATCTACTAGTGGCAGTAGTCATAGCCACTGGGGACCACAGACTATGCAAAAAAAAAGCCACTAGATATAGGAGTATTTTGCGCCGACGACGGCGCTTGTGGTGGTTGCTCTATTATGAGCTCATAGTTTGAGCTGGCATTGGTATCAATGCCACGCAGTATCAAAATGAACTCATGTCATGTACGCTTGAAGTAAGCTGTTTCATAACTGGGCGAGCATGAGCCGAGTACAGCGCATACCATAGGAAGGAAGCCATCGGCGACGATTGTAAGGCTAGAGGTTTCCAATATTTGATAGAATGTGGCAATCATGTGCTCGTATTCGGCCTAATTATTGGAACGGGCGTGGTGCGCTCTCAACATGGCATTCTCACCATTGCTTCTTTGGGCTTGCAAGTTGTACCATGGTCCTACGTTTGTTGTCGTCTAATGAAGGTAATGAGAGCCGAGGGAGTGATTTGCGGGTGCTGATGAATTGGGCACGGGGGGAATGTCTTCCTTGTAAAGTATCAAGCCCTGATAATGCCCATTGCGTTCCAGCGAAATCTGACATCTAGGCGTAATGCATTGCGAAGTGAATCATCAATTTAGTTTTTCTCAGTACCTAGGACCGATGAAAAAACAGTGCTCAAAGATGATTTAAAAGGGAAAGAAGTCATGATAGTACCAAATATATCACCTCTTATTACTTGCACACACAATTTTTATTGTTACTTAGAAATGACGAGCCCGCTCCAAGCACGAAATCCCGATCACGGGCAGTATTCAACCCAATTGTCCAAGTCCATGTTTTTGATAACGGTTGAAAAGTTGCCAGAGCTGTTGGCCGTACAAGCAGATTTAGCTTGGGCGGTCGTCACAGACTTGTTGTTGTTGGTAGAATCGCCCTTGGGGTACTCGATATGGAAGACAGGTTTACCCGCCTCAATGAAGGGTGCATAGGTATCACACTCTTTGAACTCAGCACACTGCTCATTCACACACCATTGCATGTTCTCGATGACAGAATCAATAATATCTCCACCATTCTTCAATCCCACTGAGAGACCACGGCTGTGAGACTGGGAAGCAAGCCAGTTCACGTAATCGATAGCGTCAGCCTGTGTGAGACCAAGACCGTTCGAGTTGTCGTATCCGTCGATGTTGTCAGGATCGACACCGTCGCAGCCCTTGGTTACGGCGATATCGAGACGCGCCTGCATGATTTTGCGTACGTTGGGGGACGTGACATTCAGCCATTTCTCGCCAGGCCATCCGTCGAGATTCTTGCCCTTGTCTGCGTCATTGAAGTCACCAGCATCATCGCGCCAATCCTCAAACGAGCCGGCCGAGAAGTAGCAGATCACTTTGCGGCCCATTTTCTGGAGATCTGAGATGACGGTTTTGTTGTTGTCGAAAAGATCAATGTCGTAGATTGGTGCGTCCACTGATGTGGAGATCGGTGAGCCATCACCGGATTTCAGTATGATCTGCCACTTGGTTCCAACAGCTGGCAGCCATTTCACGGTTGTATTTGTTGGCAATGTTGTGTTTGTCGTTCCGGAACCGCCGGAACCAGTGCCATCATTATCATTATCATTGTCATCATCCCCACTATTCTTCAGGCCAATTCCCAGTCCAGCACCTAGACCGACACCCAGAGCAACAATGACAAGAGCGACGGTTCCCAAGATAAGAACCTTCTTCTTAGTCGACCAAGCCCACCAGCCAGTTTTGGATGATAGTTTACCCATTAGGGTGGGTTCTGGAGTGAGAGATGAAAATCGGGGAGAAGTTCAGGTGCTTGTGTGTAATCTGTTGGTGAGATCCAGCTTCGGAACTCAAAATCGCGGGGTACTTGTATTAAATGAAAGAATATGGGGTAGCTCAAGGGAAAGAAAAAAAAAGAGAGAGACAAAAAGATCCGCAGGCCCGATCTCGGGAGATGAGTATCTTTAAGCTCAAAATTCAGGGCCCAGAGCGCAGGTCGGTGGCTGAGGGATCTCCTCTAGGGTAATCGGAACCTGGATGTCACCCTGGAAAAAGCAAAGTTCGGCCTTGGATCCAGCAATTTGTCCGAGGTTCCTGAAAATCCTTTATTGGGTAAGGCTGAGGGTGAACAATATCAAAAATTGGTACAAACAAAAGAAGCGTACCTAGAGGGCTAAGCAAAGAGAAAGACGGCACATTGGGGAAAATTAAAAAAAAAGGTAGCTAAGGTGGTGAAACATGGCTGATCTGATCTACTAATTTGGCTATCTTGGCCGATCTGGATAGATTAAGTAGCAGAGTACAGCATTTTGTCAACATTGGAACCAGTAACTAGAAAGTTGGCATGACTTGCCACAGGAGCTCAGGGGTTGGTAAGTTGAGTTTCAAATTGCCAAGATTCAATCTGAGAAGCAAAAGTCACAGTAGGGGGTTTATCCCGCGAAATAGACGGCAAAAAAAAAGAGAAATCTCGGGTGGCCAAGCACGAGGTATTTGCTTCAAACGCTATTTTTGGAGCTAGTGGAGCTCTTCTAAGTTTTCATCCTTTCCCACAATCAAAGTGGACGGCATTAGGACTCATGGACTTGGCACTTCCACTGATAGATGCATGTGCTGGCAAGCGCGCCTTAAGCCTTAGGTGTCGAGAATCACAAAATCGGTGTTTATAGCCGTCACAAACATGGTATTGCTGTATTCTATTTTGGTAATTACCGTGAACCCGGACCGTTTTTGTAAACAGTAACGGGACCGTTGTCCTGCTAGCCCTAACTAAACGGCCTAATCAATTTAAATTGCAGATGATCGGTCACTTTGAAAATTATCCAGTGCCAACTTGAGCCCTGGTCGAAGACAAGGATACTCATCGTCTGATGCCAATCTCTGGATGACGCTTATGTGCATGGCATATAGATTTGAAACACTGACACATTTAACTTTCAATTTCACTACAGAGTATAATGTTATTATTAATGTCATTTTGCTCTACGGAGTACTCCGTACTCCGTACTGTGTTTCGAATTGAACGCTGGTTTTCTCTTCCTAGATGGCCCGCTCTCTCCACAACCACTCTGAGACCTGGCTAACGCCAAAATAGACTACCAGAGGAAAAGCCAAAATCCGATGGCGCTAGTCCCAAATAACCCAATCGCCTGATTCTTCCCCTCCCGCAAATATCTTGCAAGCCACACCCGCCAATCGAAACAGATCGATCCACAAGGGCAATAAAAATTCTGACTCTGTACGAAATCCTGTTGGCCTCGGGTTAACCTCGGTTTTTTTTGGCCCGAAAATTTGAAGAGCTTAAGCCCATGCCAAGACTGCGCTTGACATTTTCCAAGCTTAACTGTTTGACAAGTCACCTTATGCTTGACCCGGTTGACGTTTGACTCAGATTGTCCCGCTTAGAATGCATGCCAAGAGGGGAGGGTTTCTTTTAGTTCATGCCATTTTTGCAGCCGGCATCCGCCGCTAGGAATGGTAAGGAATAGAAAAAAAATTGAAAAAAAACCCCCTCTCCGACAGTAGCAGCGGAAGTCAGAGTGAGCTCCAAACCCTGAACTTCAACTGGCTTGCAGGCCTACATAACATACATTCTACATGACTGCCAGGTACGAAGTAGAGCACATCAAATCCGAGACCGGGTGGCTTTGATGCCCAGGAATCTATTTCCGCGGATCTCTCCGAAATGGTGCCATCCTATTCCAAAATTAACGTTGAGCCTCCTTATTTGGTGACTCGACTAAGCTGCATGAAGCGCCATCGAAGACTCCATAAATGCTTCCCCGCTGTCGGTCTTGATCCAGATTTGGGACTTGGTTGAAATTTTCAATGCACCCTGCAGGTGGGCTACATTGGAATATGTATGTGCCAGCATCTCAGATATTTGCAACAGCTGATACTTGCATTTGCACTATATCCACCGGCCTCTAGCGTCCGAGACAAGTTTGATAGTTCCCAATTGCTTGCCTCGAGATAGATAGGCCCACATGACAGTCCTCGGGTAGGCGGGATGATTAGCGTGGTGATGGTATGGTAAGGCGTGATTTTGAGAGATCACTTGCGATAAAGAATGTTTCTTGGCTTTTAGCCTCGTTCGTACGAAAATACGGAATCTAGCTTCTAGGGTTTGTTTTCGCCATGATCGATTGGCTTCGAATGGGTAAGGCTCGTCAGTAGATATCATGTTCTTCTGTCTGCTTCCGGTTACATGAATCGATGCACAAGGCGCGTGAAATGCATTTTCAACCACCTTGCGCCGGATCAGTTGGACAATGGCGTCCCTTAGCTCCTACAGCACTCTTCCTATTGTCACCTTAGACCCGCAGCGCGAAATTGCTGACAGCATGTCGCTCTGTCAGACTGTCAGATGACAGAGTTTTAGGGTTTTAGTCACTAGGCTACATGCTACTCCCTAAAGGCTGAGCCTTGAGTATGGAGGTCAATTAGAAAGAGCAATTGCGTAAAAACAGATAACTTTACTTGAGTTCTCGAGATGAGAAAATACAGGGCAGTGGATGTTCGTTCCAAGAGTAAAGCAACAGTTCCTTTTTGTCTCGTATACATATAAACCATTGTTGCCATCTAGAAGAGATATCCACAAGGTAACTTGAAAGCGATGAGTGATTAAAGAAAGTTGAAAGGTCCGTTAACCTGCCAAATCAAGGCAGGTGATGATCTTTGCAACCTTAGAGGGTGATAGGGGTGGAAAGAGTGAATGTGACAGGAGAGCCAGCAAGCTTGACCCAGACGGTCAACGGGTCGGCACCGAACTGTTCAGTGGCGAAGCCCTGGGTACTGGTAGGGGCAACGGGGAAAGTCACCGGGATGGGATCAGTGCATGTATTGCCAGTGGCAGACACAGTGACAGCAGTGATTTTCTTATTGCTGGTGGCGTAGCTAAGAGAGTAGCCACACTTGTCACGGTTGTAACGGGCAAGGAAGGAAGCGGACATCTATTGGGGTCAGCATATGAACGAGAGATGGTAACGTGTTGAATGGGATTTATCTTACCTCCTGGTGAGTGAGTGTGATGATGGGCCATTCGGCTAGGCGAACAAACTCTTGAACCTGCGTCTCCACCCAAGCTTGCATAATGGAGTATTTCTCAGACACACCGTTGATGGTGATCGGCTCAACATCAATGTTGCGAAGGTTAGCCTGGTGGAACATGTAACCATCATGGAAGAGGCCGAAGAGGTGACGCATGGTCTCACCCTTCTCAATTGCGAGGAGATCTTGGAAGGTACCGGAACCAGCAGAGGTGGCGATCCATTCCGCAACGGTGCAGTCAGGGGTATCGCAGTTATAGTAGATGCGAGAGGCCCATCGAGGGTTGACCTGCATCCCATCGAAACCGTTGGCAGCAACAGTTGTGAAGAGAGGCCACATGCTATTCTCCTTGTTTAGAAGAGCAGGGCGGGTGTTGTCACCAACACAGTTGGTGATACCGTTCTCCCACCAGGCCCGAAGTGCATCGCCGTTGTGCAGACCAGTGATGGCAGGAGGAATGATACCGTTGGAAGTGAACTTGGTGGCCTTGTCGATACCGACGGCCGCAAGCCAAGCCTGGTTAAAGCTGATCTCCTTATAGACATCACTGTAAGTGGCATTATCCTGCTCCTCGTGGGTGAAGGTGTGGGAAATGTGACCGAACTTGTTGAGGTTACTTTCGGTGGTCCACCAGGCTAAGAGCTCATCCATGGCAGTGCAGGTAGCAGTCCAGTCGTAGGTAGTGGGGACGGCGGGCCACAAGTCAGTACCAGTTCCAAGAGGCTTAATCCACTCGAGAGGAGTGTCAGCGGGCGATTCATATTCGATAGCAGCTCCGCAAGTATCCCAGCCAGCATCCGAGGTATCGGAAGAGTTTTCGATATTCCCGTTACCGTTGTGGCCGATTTCGACGAAGTAAGAACTGCCGGCGGGCATCTTAGCGTTAATCTCATCAGTCCAGCTGGCAATTTTGCTCAAATCCTGGGCGCGAATGCGGAAGTTTTTACCAGCGGGTGAGTAAAGTTCAGTTTCGAGGAACATGTCATCAATTTGGGTGTTCAGGTTAACACGACGGTATCCGGCGTACAGACCGTGGGTAATCCAGGTGATCCATGCGTGTTGTAGGTAGCTGGATGTAGAACTCCAGACAGTGTCAAAACTGACGAAGAAGGCCATCTGCTGACGACCATCGAAGTCGTTAATCACACCAGCGACACTTTCGGTAGTGAAGCCCGTGGTGGGGGCAAATGAGGCAATCTGCTTGGTAGAGGTGGTGTTGCTGATAGTCGCGGGGTAGTGCCACAGACCACTGGTGCTGACACCTGCACCAGTCTTCAAGCCAGATGTGGGGAAATCACTGATGTCGGTGAATGAGACAAGTTGCTCAACGCCGTTGTCACAGCATCCGCCGATAGCAGACGTACCAAATTTGGGACCTGGGTAGACATCGTATTGGACCATACGGACGCCATACTCCAGCTGGTATGCATAAAGCTGATTCCACTGATCATTGGTCAGGGCACTCTGGAAACCCAGGTCACCACCATAATCATAGCTGACTTCAGAGGCAACAACAATACCTCCGAAGTTTCCTCCAGCGGTGCCATTGAGGTCAGGAAGAGTGACACCAGCGGAGGGAACAATCAGAGTGGTGAATGGGATACCGTACCCATTGAGGCCGGAGCTAGCCACGCCTGCAGAGGCAGCATCTCTGGCAATGACCAGGATGTCAGCTGCAACAGCCGCGTGGTTAAGCGGGATGGCAGAAGCAGAA